CTAGAAAAAGCGTACTAGTCTTTACTGATAGGAAGCAGGTAAGTCGTTGCTTTGGGACTAGAAAGGCAATCAGGGAGGAATGGGAGGGAGGCTAGAGCCCGAGGAAACTTTTGAAGGTGACAGATATGTTCATTATCTTGATTGTGGTGATGGTTTCATGGGTGTATATATATGCCAAAAATTGTATACTTTAAATATGTAGTTTATTTCATGTCAATTTTATGTCAGTGAAATTATTTTAAGAATTCCATTAAAGGTTCACAAGAATAAGTTTAAAAAATCCCAGAATAGAACCAAATGACAAAGAAATGTAAAATATGAGAGAGGGGAAAAAATACCAGGTAAAGATGTAAAGGATCTACTTTATCTTGAATTTTATCGTGATATATTTAGTTGTGTTTTTTCATTTCTCTTTCTTACCATTCAGTGAACCCTTTGCATTTAAAGATATGTGCCTCTCTTTAGCTCTTGGAAATATTCTTACAGTCTTTGATAATGTCCTCTACCAGGTGTAAGAATTTGGCTCAGGCTATGAGATAGAGGAGAACTAGGGAGGGGCATTGTTAGAAATCCCTAGATCCCCACCTCAGTCCCAAACAAAGATACCTCTACTCCACCAGTCCTCCATAGGGATGGGAAATTGATTTCTCTAGACTTGAGGACACTACGTGCAGAGGAAGTCTGTAGTGAGGAATGAAAAATAGCCAAAGATCTATTCTTTCACATGTTCCAGAATGCTAGTGCCTGGGTTTAAATCAGTGTATCCGGGAAATTAGAAAATGATTCTCTGGAGCAACTAAACCGTCCCATAGAAAAGAAACATAGCCTGACAGTTGGGAGTGCCCAGTAAAAAAAATCTGGATACCCACTTAATTGTAGCCTACAGTGAATCCATTTGTGGTAAGTGATGCTTCCAAACCACCTTTAGGACCTCATTCTTAAATATAAACGAATAACCAATCATCTTGAAGCATTTGAGGAAAGCCTTCAACATGAAAGAGAAAGCCAAAAAACAGAGAAAAGGTACTCAATAGCAGTATAAAGATGGGAAGATTTTGCATCCAAAATTCAGAGATCAAGAAAGAACTCTTGGAAATTAGCTAACAGCAGAAATGAAAATTTCAGTTAGAGAAGTTGAAAAACAATGAGATGGGGGTATCTGGGTGGCTCAGTTAGTAGAGCATGTGACTCTCGATCTCAGGGTTATGAGTTTGAGCCGATGTTGGGCATAGAGATTACTTCAAACAAACAAATAAACAGGTGGATAATAGCAGGAAAACAATAAGTAGAGAATCAATGTAATAGGAATTGCAGAAAGATAGACCAGAGAAAATGAAGGAGGTACACTACTAAGTGTGCAATAGCATTATGTCTAAATAACAATGTAAAGGGTCACCTGGGTGGCTCAGTCAGTTAAGCATCCAACTCTTGATCTTGGCTCAGATCATGATCTCATGGTTTCGTGGGTTTGAGCCCTACATAGGGCTCTGTGTTGACAAGTGTGGAGCCTATCTGAGATTCTCTCTCTCCTCTCTCTCTGTTCTTCCCCAACTCGTGCTGTGCCTTTCTCTCTCTCAAAAAATAAATAAACATTAAAAATTAAAAAAAAAAACAATGTAAATACCTTAATTTAAAACTACTTTATTAGTGGGGTGATTAAGCATCTGACTCAGTTAAGCATTTGACTCTTGATTTCAGCTCAGTTCATGGTCCCACAATTCATGGGTTCGAGCCTCATGTGAAGCTCTGTGCTGACAGTGCGGAGACTGATTGGAATTCTCTCTCTCTCCCTCTCTGCCCTTCCCCTGCTCGTGCATTCAGTGTCTTTCTCTCTCTCTCAAAATAAATAAATAAACTTAAAAAAAAACTTTATTACTAAAAATTGTCAAACATCATCTGAGATTTCAGTCATAATCACTGATCACAGATCACCATAACAGATACAATAATAATGAAAAAGTTTGAAATATTTTGAGAATTAGCAAAATGTGATACAGAGACATGAAGTTAGCAAATGCTTTTGGAAAAATTGTGCAGATAAGACTTGCTCAACACAGGTTGCCACAAACCTTCAGTTTGTAAAAAATGCTTTGTCTGTGAAGTGCAATAAAGCAAAGGACAACAAGGTATGCCTGTACAAGAAAGTTTCCCAGACTGAAAGATAGGAATTTCCAAATTCAAAGAGCAGGTGGAAAGCTCAGCGTAATGAAATCTAAAGACCCAATTCACAGCAATCCTCAAAGCTTTCAGAGAAAGGTAACAAATTATGAATAAGAAATAATGCATTTGTGCTGTTATCTTATTTCTCAAAAGCAAAATTAAAAGCTAAAAAACAATGAGCTTTCAAAATTTTAAGTGAAAATTATTTGAAACATATAGTTCTATACCCAGCTAAACTATCAGCAGATGCGAGTACAGAGTGAAGATACTTCCAGAAAAATGCAGTCTTAAAAAATTTCCCTCTTGGGAAGCTACTGAACTATGTGTTCTGCTAAAATGAAGTAAGCCAAGAAAGATGAAGATATGGAATCCAGGAAATAGGGGTTTTAACACAAGAGGGAGAGGAAGGAAATTCCCAGGGTGATGTTGAAGGAAGTTCCAGACATTAGCTATGGAAAAGGACAGAGGGCTCTAGAAAGGAAGCTTCCAGGAAAAAAATGAAGTGAGAGGGTATTTGACAGACTTTATATGTAGAAGGTTGGAAGAGTATTATGTAGCTTTTAGATTGTATAGAAAGACTTCAGTATATGTTAAAAAGACACCCAGGTAAATGAAATTTGGCAGCAGGAGAAACAAATTATTGTACTGGGAGGGAAACAATAATGAACAATGTTTTCAAAGACTAATACAGTTGACCTCTGAACACCTCGGGTTTGAATTGTGTGGTTCCACTTATATGTGTGTTTTTTTTAAAAATAAATACAGTATAGTACTGTAAATGTATTTTATCTTGTGATTTTCTTAACATTTTCTTCTAGCTTACTTTTTGTAAGAATACAGTATATAATGCATATAACATGCAGAATATGTGCTGAACAGTAAGCCTTCTGGTCAGCAGTAGGCTGTGAGTAGTTTAGTTTTGGGGACTCAAAAATTACATGTGGACTTTTGACTATGTGTGGGGTGGGTACCCCTCATCTCCCATGTTGTTCAAGTGTCATGAAAATATAGTAATTTAGATATAGAATGTGGATATAATTAAAAAAAAAAAAAAACAACTTTAGCCCTATAGCTATTGGGAGGATGGGTGAGAAAAAGAGAAGGAAGTATATTAAAATTCACATTATCATAATAGGAAGTCAGATGATTATATTTTAAATAGATGAATCAAGAGATAGTGGTATTTGCATATTATTTAGAAATATGTAGATAAATCCCAGAATAAGCAGCTTGTGAAAGCATTTTAAGCAGTTGTCTCTGAAGTGTGTTTCTTTCCTTCTTAGAAATTTATTTTATTGAGATATAAGAACATTGTGTAAGTTTAAGGTATAGAACATGTTGATTTGATTCATTTATATATTGCAATATAATTACCAAGGCAGGGCTAGCTATGAGGTGTGTTCTGTATGCAGTATTAAAGTCACAGAAGTAACCAGGTAAGGATCTAAAATAGAAATTTCAGTATCCAAACATGTCAGGAGTCGGGAGACTCTTTTATAATGGTGAAATTAACAGGTGATGTTCAAATGTAACAAATCAAGAAATGTTAGTTCAAGCACATCAAGAGTGTGAGGTAAACACCAGCAGAACCACATCTGGAAACTGTTGAAATGGCCACATCTGTGGAATTCGGGGGCTATTGCGTTTATTACAAACCCTTTTTGGAGTGGGTCTGAGGTAGTTAAACCTGAAAGGGCAGAGCTCCTCTCCGGGATTTAGGGCAGACAGAGTGTATGTTATAGGGCAGAAGAGTTTGCCTCTCTGTCATCAGGCGCCCATAGACACCCCGCCTGTCATCGACGGACACCCCGCCTGTCGTCTTATTCATGTCCCCTCTCTTCCTGGATAGCCCCGACTGGGAGGAACCTGGGTAAGCTGCCATCCTGTTTGTTGGGTGTTTTGTTTGCTTTTCCGGCTCTGGGATGAGCTTGGGTGTGGATTCCCGTAGAACCTTGGCCTCATGTCACCTTGAGATTCTGGCGTGGGACACCAAGGCGAGAAACAGTGGCTTGTTCCACAGTGGCACGGCAGGGCTGCCCCGGTTTACTGCCTTTTTACTTGGGGCTGGTTAAACATTGGCAGAGCAAGGGCACCGGGTAGGTTGGCTGTACGGTTTCCGTGCTGCCCATAGGCTCCTGCCCACCCCCTCCTGCCTCCCCGCGATCAGTGGGGACTGAATCTGGCAGGGTCTCCCTGCACCAAGGCTGCAGGGCTGCGTTAGCCGGAGGAGGGGCTGCCTCTAGAAGCTCACACAGAGACCCCATGGTGGCCAATCACGGCCCTGGGCTGGGCCTGCTCTCCCCACATGCGGGCATGTACCTGCGTCAGAGATGATTCATTTAAGTGGAGAGTCTCCATGACTGGGTTTAGACAGCCTGTTTGTTTCATTTTTATTTAAACTATCAATTCTTGGGGCGCCTGGGTGGCTTGGTCGGTTAAGCGTCCGACTTCGGCTCAGGTCATGATCTCGCGGTCCGTGAGTTCGAGCCCCACTTCGGGCTCTGTGCTGACAGCTCAGAGCCTGGAGCCTGCTTCAGATTCTGTGTCTCCCTCTCTCTCTGCTTCTCCCCTGTTCATGCTCTGTCTCTGTCTGTCTCAAAAAAATAAATAAACGTTAAAAAAAAAATTTAATAAAAAAAAAAAACTATCAATTCTTAAGCAGTACACGTGTGGCGCTGCCTTGACACTGGGATGCGTGGATGGGAAGGCCACTTCTCATTTCTCCTCGCTTTTTGCTCCAAGCTGGACCTTACAAAGTGTAAACATTCTTCCTGGAGCAGGGCTGGGAGGCTGTTAAGGTGAGAGAAAGTTTCTGAGCTGTGTTTCATTTCTCTGTTCAGAGCATGAAGGGCATTGAGGAAGGCGTGGAGTTCTTGCCAGTCAACAATACCAAGAAGGTTGAGAAGCGGGGCCCGAAGCGCTGGGTGGTGCTGGTGGCCGTGCTGGTTGGCATCTTCTTGCTTTCTCTCATGACTTGTTTCATGGTGTGGCACTTCCAGTGTGAGTAGAGCCAGGGGTTGGCTCTGGGGAGAGTGATGGGGAGGGGGAGGATGGTGGCTGTGTGTCCTCTCTCAGTGGACAGACATAGGGGCCACCGGTTGTGGGCATGAGGGAGAGACCGGAGGGTGCAGCTGGGGGTAGGTAAGGAAGGGTCCAGGGCCCTGGCTCCCCTGGCTCTTCCAAGCCATAAGGGAGGAGTGTTGGCCCACAGGCTCATGCATCCACTGGCCTCTCCTGGCATTCACTCCTCCAGGGTTGCTGAGGGCAGCTTGAGGACAGTGGGGGGACCAGGGTAGCATGACGGTGTCACTTCCTCTGACCACCCTCCTTCTCTGGTCTCCCATAGACCAGAATGCGCGGGTTCAGAAGGTCTTCAATGGCTACCTGAGGATCACAAATGAGAACTTTCTGGATGCCTATGAGAACTCCAACTCCACGGAGTTCGCAAACCTGGCCAGCAAGGTGAAGGAAGCGGTGAGTCCAGTCCCTGGGCAGGGAGCCCTGTCCCTGGGGTCTGCCCTGGCACTCCCAGCCTCACCCAGGCTGAAAGAACACTGCTCCCTTCACTCCCGGATCCCTGGGCTGGCCGGTGGGTCCCAGGAGGGAGGGAGAGGCACGGGCTTGGGCAGTGGGCTATTGCTGTTCTCTGGCATGCCGTGAGCATTCCCTCTCGCCCTCAGCTGAAGCTGTTGTACAGTGGGGTGCCGACCCTCGGCCCCTACTACAAGAAGTCGTCTGTGACTGCCTTCAGGTGGGTGCCGGGGAGAAGGCTGGGTGGGATCAGTGCTGTGTGGTAGGTGGGCAGAGAGCTCGCAGCCTGCAGGGTGATGCAGCTTCAAGGTCTGGCATGGGGAGCAAGGTGCCATCCTTGTTCTTCCCTAGGTGTGTGTACTTTAGCCCACAAGTTCTGCTGTCTCCAGGGCAGGGGTAGCCATCCGTAGGCGTGTCCCCAGGTGCCACGGGTGAAGACAGGTGTGGTGTGTCCTCCATGTAAACCACTCAGTAATGGTGATGATCGTTTGTTATGTTTCTAAATTTGGGTTTGGAAGGCTTGGGTGAGTCTTCATATTTTCCTTGCTTAGGCAGCCTTCAACATACTTTTTTAAAAATAGACTTTATCTCAAAAGTACTTTTGATTTAGTTAGTTTAATCTTTACGTATTTATTTAAAAGCTTATTTATTTATTTAAGTAATCTTTATGCCCAATGTGGGGCTCAAATGCACGACCCCGAGATCAAGAGTCATGTGCGCTTAAAAAAAAATTTTTTTTTAATGTTTATTTTTTTGAGATAGAGAGAGTGAGTGGGCCGCGGGAGTGGGGAGGGGCAGAAAGACAGTTGAGGAAGAGAATCCCAAGCAGGCTGTGTGCCGTTAGCAGAGTCCAATGCCGATTCAGAGCTTGATTCCACGAACTATACGATCACGACCTGAGCCGAAATGAAGACTTGAACTTTAACCAACTGAGCCACCCAGGTGCCCCAGTTTAATCTTTATGAGTGCTGGCTGGCAGGTGGCATTCTTGTCCTCTTTCAGAGATGAGGACACAGACTCAAGAGTTTGATATTCAACGTGCCCAAGCTAGTGGTAGCATTGACAGCTCACAATCCAGGCTGCTTTCCCACTCCCAAACCTGAGCTGGCCCCAGAACACGTCTGGTTGGCGAGAGACTGTGAGAGTAGAGGGTACAGAGGCAAGATCTCTTGCTTAAAGGATCGAAAGGTGGGCAAGCATAAAAGAATCTGAGGTGGGCCCTGCCTGGAGGAAGGTCTCTTGGGGAGCCTGAGCCATCGCATCTATATCCAGCATCTGGGAGAGTGTGGGGACGGGTGGGGTGCCTGGCGCCCGCCTGTGCCTCAGGCTCACCCCTCTCCCCACAGCGAGGGCAGTGTCATTGCCTACTTCTGGTCCGAGTTCAGCATCCCCAAGTACCTGGTGGAGGAGGCCGAGAGCGCCATGGCAAAGGAGCGTGTGGTCACAATGCCACCCCGTGCCCGCGCCCTCAACTCCTTCGTGCTGACCTCGGTGGTGGCCTTCCGTGAGTACAGGGACGCTGGGCATGGGCATTTGCTGGGCCAGGCTTCTCTGGAGCAGGGCCAGGCCCTGGACCGTTGCAGGAGGGCAGCACTCCCGAGGCAGTGCACAGAAGGGAAGACGGTCTGCTGGCTGGGGACCTCCCTTTAGGGGAATAAGGAAGCAGGATGAAGGAAATTGACCACAGTAGTAAATACTGTGTTTTCCGTCTTGTTCTTCAGCCACTGACCCCAGAACAGTGCAGACCACCCAGGACAGTAAGTATGCCCTCCTCCCAGAGAAGATGGATGTGGCCAGACACCCTTTCAGTCAAGGGGGTCCCCCGAAGTCATACACATCCCCCACCTGTCCCAGGCCGTGAGAAGCTCCCTCTTCTGTCTCTTCTGGGTCCAGGGCAGCCTGGCACATCTCCCTGGGTGCACCCCCCAGGGAGGCTCTGGGTTGCTCGCCCCTACCGGCTCTGCCCTCTCCGTCTCCCACACAGACAGCTGCAGCTTTGCCCTGCACGCCCGCAGCGGGGAGGTGACCCGCTTCACCACGCCTGGCTTCCCTGACAGCCCATACCCGGCTCGGGCCCGCTGCCAGTGGACCCTGCGGGGGGACGCCGACTCCGTGCTGAGCCTCACCTTCCGAAGCTTTGATGTCGCGCCCTGTGACGATCGTGGCAGTGACCTGGTCATGGTGTATGACACCCTGAGCCCCGTGGAACCCCGTGCCGTGGTGCAGTGAGTGTCCCGGGGAAGCAGAGGCGGGCTGCGGGAGCTCGGCAGCTGCCTCCGGAGGGAAGTGTAGCGTGGGTTGGAGATACAGCCTATGACTTTCAGGCAGTCGAGAGCAGGTGTGTGATCCTCAGTGTGAGCTCCCAGAGCGTCTCAGGGGGTGATTTCAGCCCTGGCAAGGGTGAGGAAGGCTCACTGGTCCCTAGATGCCAGTGAGCACAGCGCAGTTCCTTTCCTTGCCAGAGCGGAGGTGCAGACTGCTGTTGTAAAATGCCCACTTTATCATGACTCGCTTATATTGAGGCCAGTGGACCAGGAGGAGGCTGCCATTGAAAAGATAGTTTGTTACTTATAGTTCCCAGAGGAGAGGGCATACAAGGCCACATGGGGAAGCCCCAGGGTCAGTCAGGAGGCAGAGGGGGCCGGAGGAGAACACAGGCAGGAGCCTTTGTTGTGGTTTCTGCCGGAAGGGCCAGGCAGGGCAGTGTATGCAGGTTTAGGAGTGACTGGTTTGAGTAATTCCAGTGGGTTCTGGGGCACACGTCTATCTCTAGTTGTCAGGTATCTGGTCGTGGGGTGATTAGGACGGGCGGATGGTGGCCTGGAGAGAAGAGCCCCATGGAGGAGGTGGTTGGGGTGTGGGCTCTGGATTGATTGGTCTGTATGTGAAAGGCTTCCCTGAGGGTGAGTTGACTATCTCTAGGAATTGGCGAGTCCTGGGAAGGGCAGTCTTTCCAGAGGCGGCGAGCCCCCAGCTGCCCGAAGCATCAGGCTTACAGGAAATAAAAAGGCATCATACACCTGCTGAGGAACTGGGGGGTGCTGAGATGATTGCCCCCCGCCCCGTGCTGTGGGGCTCGAGCGTGCTTCTCAGAGCGCCGTGGGTGGGCATGAGCTGCCCTCTCCCGAGCTCTCCCTGACTCAGTGGGCCAGAGCCTTCTCGTGCTGTCTGTGGAAATGAGCTGGGCAGACGTTTTGTGATAAATAATGGGCTAGAATTCAGGCTCCAAAACAAGATAGAACCATCTGCTGCCGTAGCTCAGCAGCTAGGACTCCAGCCTGAACACCCTTTTTGTGCAAGGTTTCTTCCCTTCTCTGTAATTCATGAATTGTACAACGAAATAAACACATGGCTCCGAAAGGAGAAAGTGGGAAATACACATGCACAGAGAGCACAGACCTCCATCATGATCTGGAAGTAATCACTGTTAAATTTGTGAGGTGTGTTCTTCCACGCTTTCTGCTATGTGTGTGTATGTTTGTGTATAGATTTAAAAATAGGATTTTACGGCACGTTTGGTTTTGCTGTCTGGTTTGAAAACTGAAGTATATCATGATGATCCTTCCAAATCAGTAAGCTTGCTTCTGTGATTCTAATGGTTGCATAACGTGGCATTGTGTAATGTACAATGAGCACAAAGAGGCAACGTGACACAGTCATTAGCTGTGTGGGCCCCGGAGCCTGGATGCCCAGCCACTTATTAACTGTGGAACCTTGGGCAAGTTATTTCAATGCCTCAGTATCCTTATCTGTGAAATGGGGATAATAGTATTTACTTAGTGGAGTTGTTATGAAGACTCCTGAGTTCTTAACATGTTCTTAAGTGTTGTCGGTGCTGTTACCGTTACTAGTATTGTTATTATTTAGCCCATAGTTTAATGAATCTTCTGTGGTCAAGCATTTGAGGCTTCTGAGTTTTTGCTTTTTTTTTTTTTTTTTTAATGTTTATTTTTGAGAGAAAGAGAGAGGGAGGGACAGAGAGAATGAGCCAGGGAGGGGAAGAGAGATGGGGGGACAGAGGATCCAAAACAGGTTCAGTGCTGTCAGCAGTAAGCTTGATGCGGGGCTCGAACTCACAAACCTTGAGATCATGACCTGAGCCAAAGTCAGATGCTTAACTAACTGAGCCACCCAGGCATCCCTGTTCTCTGCTGTTTTAAACAAAGATAAATCCTATCTCAGGTCATTTGTGCGGGGAGGAGCTTTTAAATGACCCTTGGCCTTTTATGGATGGGACCGGGGTTAGGGACGCCTGGTTTCTGTCTGCTCTCTTGTAACACATGCAACTTCTGACCCCTACAGGCTGTGTGGCACCTACCCTCCCTCCTACAACCTGACCTTCCTCTCCTCCCAGAATGTCTTGCTCGTCACGCTGATAACCAACACTGAGCGGCGACACCCTGGCTTTGAGGCCACGTTCTTCCAGCTGCCTAAGCTGAGCAGTAAGGAAGGGCCTGGTGGGGCAGAGGAGGGACAGGTCTGAGGGGCTGGCCTGAGCCCACGAGGCGCAGGCCAATCCCTTGGGCTGGTGAACTGGCTCAGGTCGGTGTCAGAGGTTTGAAGCTTAAGCCACAGGGCCTTTTGTCTCTTGTGTGGGTCAGGAGCCCTCCCTAAAGTGGTCAGTCTCCTAGTGCTCAGACTTTCTGGCCACTGGCTGTGGAGTGTGCCGGGGCCCTGGCAGGCAGCTTGAGAGAGTCACCGGCTGGCTCTGCCAGGGCCCCTCGGCCTACCTACCTGCCTGCCTGCCTGCCTGGCCAGGCAGGTCCTTGGTCCTCAGGCTCTTCCTCCTGCCTTTCCTCTCAGGCTGTGGAGGCTACTTACGTGGAACCCAAGGGACATTTAGCAGCCCCTACTATCCTGGCCACTACCCGCCCAACATGAACTGCACGTGGGACATTGAGGTAGGAGCTGTAGGGTGCCTGTGAGGGCAGAAAGGGGGAGAGAGGGAGAAGAAGAGGGAGAGGGAACAGGGGAGCGGGAGAGGGAGGAGAAGGGAGGGAGGAAGAAGAGGGATGCTCCAGAATGGCAAGTGAGGAAGGTCAAGGAGAGGGAGATGGGCTCTCTTAGCAGCCCCCAAGTTGCCGAATATCTAAAGCCTTGCAGAGTAGAGCAGGGTGGAGTAGCCCTAACCTTGTAACCTCCAGCAGACCCATATTCAAATGGTCTCAAATTCTAGCTCTTTTTTAACAATGTTTATTTATTTATTTTTGAGAGAGGGCGCACGTGCATGTGCATGTTCACACACGCACACACACGTGTAGGGGAGGGGCAGAGAGAGAGGGAGAGAGAGAGAATCCCAAGCAGGCTCCGCACCATCAGCACAGAGCCCGATGCGGGACTCAAACTCACGAACCGTGAGACTGTGACCTGAGCCAAAACCCAGAGTCGGACGCTCATTTGACTGAGCCACCAGGGCGTCCCTCACATTTTAGCTCTCGATCAATGGCCCCCTGAGGGACCTTGGGCCAGTCACTCTACACCAGAGCCTCAGCTTGCTCCTAGGAAAGAGGAGAAGGAGTGGTGTCTGCCTGTCAGAGGTAATGTTGCCGATTGTGTGTGCAGCTTGGAGAAAGCACTTGCTAAATGACAAGTCTTGCCTCCGGGGCTGCCCGCAGGCCGTCCGAGTCAGGGACCCATCTCTCCTTTCTTTCTTCGATGGTGCCAGGAGGACCACCAGCTTTCTTTAGGAATAAGAGTGTCTCTTGCCTCTGAGTCTAGAGGTTCTTCCAGCCGTCCAACCTGAGTCCCTCTTGCTGTGTGTTCCATATCGCCCACACGGGTCAGGGAGATAAAAACACAGCAGCCACTGTCCCCCAGCCCCCGTGGCCAGCAGCACGTGGCATCCTTGGGTTTAGGAGGGGGGAAGGAAGCGGCAGAGGCCCAGCAGCATCGCTCTCCTTAGGTGCCCAACAACCAAAACGTGAAAGTGCTCTTCAAGCTCTTCTACCTGTTGGAGCCCAACGTGCCCCCGGGCAGCTGCCTCAAGGACTACGTGGAGGTCAACGGGGAGAAGTGAGTACCCTGGGGCACCCAGTGCTGGAGGGAAAGGGGGTGCCCCGAACACTTCTGGATCCTCTTCCTACCGGTGACCGCCCCCTCCAGGTACTGCGGGGAGAGGACCCAGTTTGTGGTGACCAGCAAAAGCAGCAAGATCACTGTTCGCTTCCATTCCGACCAGTCCTACACTGACACGGGTTTCTTGGCCGAGTACCTCTCCTATGATTCCAGTGACCGTGAGTACACGTCTCCAGAAGGGGGAGCCTGGCTAGAGGGACTGGCCCACGATGAGCTCTCTGCTCTGTATCTTCCCAGCATTGTGCTCTCCTAATTTTGAGGTACCAGAGAACGCAAGGGGCATGTCCGGTAGCTTTTTGAGACAAAATTGCAAGGCTGCCAGAAATGCACGTATTGAAAAAGGTGGGCAGTGAACCCTGGCACACACCGTGCCTGAGGCCTCCTGAGTTCCTTTGAGCCGTCTGTCCCTCCGGTTCAGCATTACCACGACTTGGCGCATCTGTGCTTGCCTTTGTGGCCTTATAACACCTTCGGGAATAGAGAGAGAGGAAGACCCGGGAGAGAATACTGGGGCACGACTCATCACGCCCCCTGCTCCTAGCTCGGACAGTTCCATGTTCTACACCTAAGAGATCTGGCAGTTTCTGCTGCCTCGAGTCTCACTGTCTGCTGTGCGCATAGCAGTTCTAACCTAGTCACAGTGATTTTTCGTTTCAGCCCCTACATCACATAGTAACCTTCCGGCAGACATTTTAATTATATGCAAGAACCCAAATTTCAGTTAAAATGCAACTGCACGGCTCACCACCCAAAATGCGATTGGATGAACAAACCCCTCCGATGAGTGATTGGGCTGCCTGTGCAGCACAGAGAACGGTCTCCTCTCAGCTCTGTCTGCTTCCTGATGCCATCAGTTGTTGGACATTCCGGTCTCAGAAACACTGGAATATGGGACGTGTCTTAGAATTAAGGAAGTCCAGAGATGCAACTGGACACTTGGATGGGGGTACACATCATCCATCTGCAGGGCTACTGTTGCTCCATGTTGGGCATGGGGAGCCTGGCACCTGGGCAGGAGTGGGCGGCCAAGGACATGGGGCAGTAGAACTGAGAGCACACCCAGCCAGTCTCTCTCCGCTTTGTCTGCAGCTTCCTGGGGCTTGATCATCGGCAGTCAAGGCCCCACTCCCACCCCCCGCCGCCCCGCTAGTGGTCTGTGGCTAGCCTCCCGTGCCGGCTGTAGGAAATGCACTTGCCGCAGCGTGGTGGGGCTGGGGGACCACGGCCCTGGGGTGCCGGCTGCAGCCTGCTCCTCTCTCCGTGGAGGGCCAGACGGGGAAGAGTTTTCTCTTTGGTCCTCGGTGTGGCTGTGAGGCTGGCCCTGAGGGAGGGCAGCCGGCGTGGGAGGCGAGGCTGGTGGCCGTGGACTTGAGGCCTGCCCTCTCCCCTGCAGCGTGCCCGGGGATGTTCATGTGTAACACGGGCAGGTGTATCCGGAACGAGCTGCGCTGTGACGGCTGGGCTGACTGCACGGACTACAGCGATGAGCTCAACTGCCGTGAGTCCTCTGCCCTCGCGTGCCTGGCTGCTGGGGAGCCGTCCCCATCTTTTGCTCCCTGTGTAGACATCAAGCCCCTTCCCTCCCTGTGCTGTTTGGAAGCCCTGACTTCTGTCCGAGCAGGCACTGGAGTGTTTCTGCGCTAGTGGGGTTCGCTTCCATAGCCAGGAACGCAGAGGCACTCCGGCCGGAGCTGCCCCCTCCAGCAGGGCAGGTGGTCCCCGGGTGGCTGTCTGGTCACCCTTCCTGCCCGGGGGAGCTGTGAGCAATGACCGATGTCAGAACGAGGGCTCAGAGCCCAGCTGACCGCTGCCCTGTGCCCCCTTCAGAATGCAATGCCACCTACCAGTTCACGTGCAAGAACAAGTTCTGCAAGCCCCTCTTCTGGGTGTGTGACAGTGTGAACGACTGCGGGGACAACAGTGATGAGCTGCAGTGCAGTGAGTGCTTGGTGCTTGGAAGGGTGGGGGAAGGGGGGTGTCAGTGCCTGTGGGGCCTCACTGCAACCTCAGCAGGGGGGCGGCGAACTGGTGCTGAGCGTGAGGCCCTGTCCCCAGGCTGCCCGGCTCAGACCTTCCAGTGTGGCAATGGGAAGTGCGTCCCACAGAACCAGCAGTGTGACGGGACAGACAACTGTGGAGATGGGTCCGATGAGGCCACATGTGACAGAGGTGAGACCTGGCCCAACCCACCTTGCTTTAGGGACTTTCCTCCTGGTGGGAGCTGCCATGAGCACACTCACATTCCAAGTTTCCAAAGTTTAATAAACACAAACCACCCTCTCTGTGAAGTGTGACGAGAAAGTATGTCAGCGGGGAGAGAATCTTCCAGAAGGTGGAGAACCTTTGGTGGGCCTGGAAGGATGTGGGCATGGGTGTGGATGGGTACCGCAGGCTTGATAAGGAGCATAAGGTGGATGGATCATCAGGCTTCTGGTTGGATGCTGCCATGGAACTGATTCCCTTCCCCTTGTTCTCCTCCTTGAGCAGTAACAACTGTTGCCTGCACCAAACACACCTATCGCTGCCGCAACGGTCTCTGTGTGAGCAAGAGCAACCCCGAGTGTGATGGGAAGAAGGACTGTAGTGATGGCTCAGATGAGAAGGATTGTGGTGAGCAGGGCCGCTGCATACAGTTGTGCAGGTTGTTCACTGTGCAAGGCACATACAGAGGTAGAAATCATGCCAGTGCCTCAGTCACCCATCTCTGCCTCTGTCTACCTGGGGGAAAGGATAACTTTGCTGACTGGCACAGAGGCACTGTCCCATGGGCCAGCTCTGATCCTGGAGGCAGGGCCCAGGGCAGCCAGCACATCAGTGCCTCTGTGGCAGAACTCGCATCCTGGCTGAAGTGTTGGGCTGGCCCCTGCTCTGTAGACCTGGCCCACAGTGCAGTGGCAAGTCCTGGGTTCCCCATCCTGCCTGGAGGAGGGGGGCACAGCTTACCAGAGCAGTCGGCAGGGTTTAGTCCCCACCCCAACCATGCTTCAATTTATAGCCTCATGTGTATTTCAGAGTCACTGGCCATAGGTTAAATCTGAGCACAGCTATAGCTGTTCTGTGACTTTGCATCGCCACCCCCCCCCCCCACTCTTCCCTCTGAGAGCTGTGTCCTTCAGCATTCAATGAGGACATCTAGGCAAATGACACTCAAATTAAATCTAAGCAAACCAGCAGGTCTCTCTGAAGGCCTCTAAATGCATTTGGGCAGGACTAAGGAGGTAGGAGCGTGAGGGTTTTGAGTTTGGGAGTGGGGAGGGGGGCTGGGAGGAAGTCAGTGGGTCTCTGAGGCTGGAAGATATTTGTAGAGGGTCCCACCAAAAGGCCACCACCCCACATGACCTCCCGTTGAGCCTGGCGTGTGGCCCCAGGGGCTGGTGCCCCGCCGTGACTTTCTGACCTTTGGGTTTTCTGCCCCTCCCAGACTGTGGGCTGCGGTCATTCACCAGGCAGTCTAGGGTCGTCGGGGGCAAGAATGCAGATGAAGGTGAGTGGCCCTGGCAGGTGAGCCTCCACGCCCTGGGCCAGGGCCACGTGTGCGGGGCTTCGATCATCTCTCCCAAATGGATGGTGTCAGCAGCTCACTGCTTCATCGACGACAAAGGATTCAAGTAAGCCCTGGGCGGGAGCCACTGAGCAGGAGCAGGGAGGCTTCCTCTTAGACCCTAAGAGGTTCTCCTCTGTTTTCTGGGCTTGGAAGCCCCCTGTGTGTGTAAGTCATGGCAGAGTGGATAGCACGGGGGCAGGGCCAGGACTGGGGGGGTGGGAGACACCCCGGGATGTCATAGTGGTAATAATAAAACTAACAGTTGTTGGGTACTCCCTTTCCATCAAGCAGTATCTAAGTGCTTCTTCTGCCAACCCAGTTGGGCAGGTCTGATTACGTCCCCATTTTACAGAAACAGAGGTTCAGAGAGGTAAGAACATTTGCTTGAGGTTGTGCAGTTATGAAGTGGCACAGTCAGACGAGAGCCCGAGTGTGTGGATTCCAAGGCTTGTACGGTTAGTCCGCACACAGGGACTCCTTGGGACCGGCTAGGACAAGCCTCACATTCACATTCCAGCTTTGTTTGCCCAGTGACCTTGGGCAAGTTATCCACGCCTGCTGGGCCTCAGGTGCTTTGGCAGCTTTGGTGACAGCATGAGTTCTTATCCTTGGAGTTCTGAGAATAGCATGCTCGTGTTCCTGAAACCTGGTACACACTGTGCTCCACACATTGGAGCCTCAGGTCCCTGGGCAGACTCCAGCCTGGCCCAGGAAAGCCTCTAAGGGAAGGGTCAGGCTGGCATCTCAGACCGGGGTAAGCAGAGCCACAGTCTGCAGACCAGAGGGTTGGCAGGAACAGGTGGTCTGCCCCGGGCCTCTGGCCACTGGCCGTAGGGAGTCTAGTGGGATGGCTTCCTCCTGGAGAAGCAGGCACAGGGGAGCAGACCTTGCAGGGAATCCCCGCCCTCAGGGCCTTCCTGCTGGGTGCATGCCCTTTGGACAGAGGCAGCTGTGTGAGAGGGTGACCGGACTGCCCTAGTCACCCTTCTGCGGGGCGGAGAGAAGAACCACTGTGCACTTTCTGGAGAGACAGTGCTAGGGCACCAAGTAGGCCCAAGGCACGGACGTTGAGCAACGTCAGGCAGGTGCACGTAGGCATGGGTGATGACATGGTCTGTAGGGGGCAGGGTCAGTGTGGCTGTCCCCAGGGCCTTGCTGAGCTGTCAGAGGGCAGCCTCGTCCCACCTGACTGTCCTCTTATTTTACCACACTTTCCTCCACCCTGGGCAGAAGAGATTTTGTTTCTTTTTGGAGTGATGGAAGCTTACTTACAAATATTGTAAAATAAGCTTTTTGTCTTGGGATACAGACAGGTTGCAAAGACAGAATGGAGTTCCTGCACACCCTAACGCAGTTGCCCTTGTTGTTAATGTGGTGCATCTGTCCCACACTGGTCCCTTCCGCTAACACCAGTGTGGGCTTTCCTGGTATCCCAGGGGTTTTATATCCTTTCTGGGGCAGGAGGTAGTCCAGGCTCCCACTTTGCATTCTGTTGTCCCATGCCCCCAGTCTCCGATCTAGGACAGTGGCTCAGTCTGTCTTTGTTTTTGAGATCTTGACGATCTGGAGGCCAGGCATCCTATGGAATGCCCCCATCTGGGTTTGTCTGCTGTTGTCATGATTACACTGGGCTTCTGAGTGTTTGGAAAGGATATCACATCTTGTCAGCAGGCACATGATATCAACATGACTTACCGATGGTAATGTTGATCTTTCTCATTTGTTTGAGATAGCACTTGCCGGGGTTCCTCACCATAAAGTATTTCCACCTTTATTATTAGGAAGTGAGCCAATTTGGAAGTCTTCTGTAAGGAAGATTTGTCCCTTCTTTTTCATTTATTTCTTCATCTACTTATATTCGTATGGATGCATGTATATTTACATTTTGGGTTGTAATCCAATGATACTACTTTGTTGCTCAAATTGTTCCAAATGTGACCATTGCGCTTTCTTTGAGGTTGGCTCCTGTGTCCTTTTGATCTGCCCTCGTTCTTTTGTTCTTTTGAGACACTTCCTTGCTTTCTGGTCCTACCAGGTGCTTGTCCGGGTCCAGCCCCGGAATTAGCCATTCCCTCAAGAAATGTTAGCAGGGAATAGTATTTAAAAAGTGAGACCAGGGTGCTTGGTGTCCTTAGTGATACCACAGTCCCACTGTTTCTAGACCCTCAGCAGGGTGAGCTAAGATATTCATGTACGGTCTTCGCTGAAGAGCTCACCCTGTGCCCTCTGTTACTTCTCCCTCTTTCTCTTATTTCCTCACTGAATTTCTCATTTCCTTGTCCTTCATCTTCTCTTGATTATCAGTCTGCCAGTTAATAGTGCACTTAATGCATTCAACACCCATTGTTATTAGCACTGGGAGACAACGATGAATAAGGTTTCCTCCCTGCACTTCCCAGGCTTCCCAGGCGAGGGGGATGACATACGGTACGCGTGCTTGTGCACACATGAATGTACATGCACGTGCACGCGGTAAGTGCTATGCAGCAACCAGGCACAGGTTACCTAGGCCGTGCGGGTGGGAGTTGAGAATTCTGCCCCAGGGCTGGGGAGGGAGACTTAGGAGTGCCTTTATGAGCAGGAGCATCTGATGTGAGTGTTGAAACGTGAGGGTGTTTGCAACTGGACAAGGTGACGCAGACCTTCCAGACAAAGGACAGGCGTGAGCAGAGGCAGGCGGGTGTGAAGTGTGCAAGGATCTGGAGTGTGGAGTGCAGTCACTCTGGACGCATTTCTGAGTTGGCAAGTGCTCGCTGAGCCTTACCATGGTTGAGAGGAGGCTACCTGGTTCGGTCCGTTCCATGACTTCTTAGCTGTGTGATCTTGGGCAAGTTACTTAGTCTCTCTGTGCCCGAGTCCTAAGCTTAAAATAGGCAGCCCTACATTGAAGGGCTGACTGGGGGGACGAAATGACTTGATGCGTTGGCACCGAGAAGAGTACTTGGCTTGGCCACCACCAGTGCCCTCCCAACCACACGGCCGTCACTGGGGCAGCTCAGTGGCTGCCCTTCACACCTTGTCTCTCGATGGCTGGTATGTGTGTGGACCTTCAACAGCTGGCGACTGAGTCTGCTCGTATAATCGAAGGCTGTCCTAGATGGAGGAATGTGGACTGGAGAGAAAAGACCAGTGTGGCTTTAGTTGGGGCTTAGCATGGACACAGGGGTGACAAGGGATGTCTATCAGGTGAGATGGCACTAGAGGGGAGGAGGATGACCCTCCCACTCTGCCCCCTCCCCTTACCCGTCCCATCCATTCAACCCCTGGCCCTTGCCTGCTAGACATCCCAGGCCTTCTCTACTCTTCCCCCCTCACATGACTGCTCCCTTGGCTCCCCAGCCTCGGTGACTACAGCCCCCTCTACCTCATCACCTTCTTCCTTCTTGGCACGCCTGTCTGTCTCTGCAATGTGAAGGTGGTCTTTCCAAAGAGCTGATCTGATCACATCACCCCCTTGCTTACATGCTTGCGATAACTCGCGGGATAAAGTGGAAATGGCGTAGCATGATCACCATGGCCGCATTCTCTGGTCCTGCCATCTCTCCAACCTCAGTCTCTGTCCTGCCCTTACACCTTCCATATATTCGATTTGGGGGGCTCCTGAGCACTGCAAACATTGGCTCTCGGTGACTGTGCTGCTTTCTCCCCCACCCGGAGGCCTTCACTAGCCAAGTCCTATATGATCTCCAAGGCCTTCTTCATGACCTGCTTCCTCTCCTGACTCACCTCTTCCCACCCCATGCTCTTCCACAGCCTGCTACCTGTTCCTCTGGAGGTCACCCATGCTGTGCTGTCATGGGTGGTTTTCGTGGCTCCCTCCCCAAGTACACAGTGGATTCAAGAGATCCTCTTGAAGACTGGATCTCATGCAATCTGGAACACCACAGATGGTTGGGAGAAAAAGTTAGAAAGGCAGAATTAATTCCTGGTTGGGGAGGTGAGGGCTGATTCGGCAGGTCTTGGAATCATCTTTGGCTGTTGGAAAGGATCTCACAAAAGCAGTTTTCAGGAAGTTCTCATCTGGCAAATTAAAGAGAGACCAGGAGCAAAAAGACCGGTTTGGAGGCCAGTGCTTCCGTCCGGGTGTGAGGTTCTGTAGGGAGGTGATGGCAGGAATGGAGAGAAGGGAAGGATGCCCAGGTCAGCAGAGAGCAGGGGAGCTGGGCTTCAGCCAGGGATGGGGGAGATGGTCAAGGAGGACTGTAATGTTCCGTGCCGGCCACAGCGAAGGTGCCTTGCCTGGACGTTTTAGGACTGACCGCTTCAGTAGCCTCTTGACTTTCCTGAGAGGTTAGAGAAGATGAGGCAGGTCTTCATGCTTTCCCCCCTCATGCAGATTTTCTATTTTAAAGATATATTTTTCTGGGGTGCCTGGGTGGCTCAGTTGGTGAAGCGTCGGACTCTTGATTTCAGCTCAGGTCATGATCTCACGGTTCGTGAGTTCAAGCCCTGTGTCGGGCTCTGCGCCGATGGTGTGGAGCCTGCTTGGGCTTCTTTCTCTCTCTCCCTCTCTCTCTGCCCCTCCCCCTTGTTCTCTTGCGTGTTCTCTCTCTTTCTCAAAATAAATAAACTTTAAAAAAAGAGTTATTTCCCCAATTTTTTATTTTGAAAATTTCTCAGACCTACAAAAAAGTTGCAACTACAATGAAAGAAAAAAATGACAGTGAACACTCTCATACCCTTTATCTGCAGTTGTTTTATTTCTCTGTCTTTACACGTGCACATGCTTTTCTGAACTCTCTCTGAGTTACGTGCAGCCTAACCATGATGACACCTCTCCCCTAAGTGCCTCAGCTCGTGTCTCCCAAGAACAGGGAGAGCCTCCCATATACCCACAATACAGGGATCACCTCCAGAAATGACAGTGTTGACATGGTACAAGTGGTGAGCACTTCCTCCATGTTCTAGGTGTCCCCCAGTGTCCCCCAATATTGTCTTTTGTGTTTTTTTTTTTTAATTTAAAATCTAGTCTAAGGTCATGCTTTGTATTAGTCCTTAGTTCTCTTTAGTCTCTCAATTCTAGAACAGTTTCCCCAAGCCTTTATTTTTTATTATTTTTTTATGGCATTTTATGTTTGAAAAGTCCAGGCCAGTTATTCTGTAGAATGTCTCTTAATTTGGATATTTTGATTATTTCTTCATGGTGAGAATTAGGTTAAGCTTCCCCCCTCACCCCCCGCCCCGAAAGCATTACACAGGTGATGTTGTGTCCTAGCCCATTGGCAGGAATGGCTGGGAGAACACTGATCAGCTGGTTAAGGTGGTGGTCATGGCTTTCTCCATTATAAATGTGCCTCCCCCACTTGGTTATGAGTGAGTAATCTTGGACGACACTTTGAATCCGTGTGAATGTCTTGTTCCCCAGCAATCTCCTACTCTCTGCCTTTATCATCCGTCGATGATTCTTGCTGGTGTTGGTTGTTGCTATGGTAGATGCAAAATGTGATTTCTTTATTGTATTGCTTCTTCTGTATTTGTTAGCTGGTGTCTTTCTGTAAAGAGTAGCTTTCCTCTGTCCTTATAAAATTTCAAAATTATTTTTTAGATTCAGGATGGACTCCTGGATTCCCCTCCCCCTTTTATATTATTCAGCACATACAGTACTTGAATCCTGTGGTTTACTTTGATGTTTGGATGATCCTAATACTGGCTTCATGATTGTGTAAACACTTACTTCTGGTGAAACAAAATGTTCCAAGGTCACTTGATGCCTTGCTTGCTTCAGACTTGAAATCGACCATTTCTCCAAGGAGACTTGGTTCCTTTTAATGGAGAAGGATATTTAGAAACCAAGTCCTGGGTGTGCTGGGAATGTCATTGCTTTGGAGCCTTTTTTAGGAAAAATTCTGAGCTCTTATTGCTACTTCTGATTGCTCTCCCTCCTCCCCGACTCCTTTTGTATCTCCCTTTTCCCACACTGGAAGTTGAGGCTCCCAGCAACATCAGTGTGTCCTCCTGAATTGTTCAGACGGCCAGTATGCATGATAGAGTTCAGAATTGCTACACCTGTCCCACGACCAACAGTAGACCTAGTAAATGAAGTTCAGTCTACTGAACAGTCTACTGAACCACTGTGTTAAAAAAAGTATTTCTGTTGAGTTCTGTGTTATTCCTTCTGTGAAAGATCAGATTGATGAGAAATGCATTTTTGGTAATCAGATTAAAAATGTCTTAAAAGAGAGAAACAAGGGGGTTATGGGGGCTGAGTGCCATGGCAGGAGACACCAGCGGTTTCGGCTGAGGGCTGCAGCCATGCAGAAGCCACAGTCCCCTCAACATCTGGGTGGTGGCAGTGGCTTTCCCTAGGTCAGTGCTCTGCTCAGGGTCGCTGTCCCCGCTCCTCTCCCAGGTACTCCGACCATACCCTGTGGACTGCCTTCCTGGGCCTGCATGACCAGAGCAAGCGCAGCGCCAGTGGGGTGCAGGAGCTCGGGCTCAAGCGCATCATCAGCCACCCTTACTTCAACGACTTCACCTTCGACTATGACATCGCACTGTTGGAGCTGGAACAGCCGGCCGAATACAGCAGCACCGTGCGGCCCATCTGCCTGCCGGAAGCCTCACACACCTTCCCCACCGGCAAGGCCATCTGGGTCACCGGCTGGGGCCACACCCAGGAGGGAGGTGAGCTGGCTGGGCTGGCCACGGGTGGGCTGCCCACCTGCCTCTGTCTGGCAGTGGGAGGTTGTCCCAAGGTGAAGTGGAGACTCGGCTCTGGCTCAGAGGCCTGGAGGTGCCTCTAAACTATCTGAGTGACCTTGGCAGTTGCTTAAACTCTGAGCCTGTTTCTTCACCTGTAAAATGAAGATAAAACACCTTCCAAGATGGTGCTCAGTGAATGTAAGAGCACTGTGGTGGGAGTCCTGTGTGCTGTAGAGGCAAGCTAGCTGTGCCCGTGTCAGGTCCTGTTGCAGGAGCCTGGCCTCCTCTGTCCTTCTGCCTCCATCCGAAGGCCCTGAGTTGGTAATTGTTATATTGAAAAAAATCAGTTATAACAGTACTACAGCACATTGCTAACAACCTGTAGAATAAAGAGAGGAAAAAGTAAACCCGACACTTGGCTCTCCTGCTATGATGACACCCCAGGGCCTCTCTGGTGCTTTCCGTGGGTCTTCCTGTTTTTCATTTCGCACACCTGTTCCCACAGCGAATGTCCGATCTCCTGTCACCTGTTGCCTGGCGTGTTTTACGTGTGTCGCCCAGTTACCCACAGGGCTGCACGATGTCCCCTCGCGTTGGTGTGGCATCAGTTCCTTGAACATTTGTCAGCCACGGGTATGGGGGCTGTGTCGGGAGATTTGCTACCGAGGTCTCTGGAATGGGGCCCTGCCCATGGCCCTGCAGGTGGGCGCAATGGCCCCCGGGTCAGCACTGCCCCCCCCCCGCTTCCCCCTCCCCCCCAGGCTCCAGCGCGCTGATCCTGCAGAAGGGCGAGATC